AAAGATCCCACATGCTGCGGAGTGGCTGGGCCCATGAGCCATGGCAGCTGAGCCTGCGCGTCCGGAGCCTGTGCTCCACAACGGGAGAGGCGACAACAGTGAGAGGTCCGCGTACCGCAAAAACAAACAAACAAAAAAAGATGTATCAGCAAGATTCAGTCTTAGTGAAGGCTTAGCTGGGGCCAGTGATCATTTCCCTCTCTAATTTTCTAAGGTAATTATCAGTCTTTAGGTATTCATTAGGAACTTAGCTAGTAACTCTTTGCACGTCTAAAATATGTAATCTGTATGAGTGCAGCCTCTATGCAGTAGGTGCAGAGTAAATGCTTGATGATGATGAAAGACATGTGTAAGGAAGATTCACTTGGCAACAGCACCCGAACTGAAAAGAAGAAAGACAGGAGGTAGGGGAGTCCTAAGGAAGCCGTTCTAGAAACACAGGTGTGAAGGAAGGAACGTAGAAGAGGCAGATATGAGAAAACACTAGGAAGTATCACTACAAGGAACTTGCATGCAGAATGGGTTAAACATTAAGTTTTCAAATCTAAATGTTCTGAAGGATCATGAGAGTGATAAGTGAGATGGAAAAAATTGGGAGAGGGAATTCATTTGGGGAATAAGATGGGGAATTTGGGTTTGGACAGGCATTTGAGATGATGACTGGATATTCATTTAGAAATGATATGGGAAATTAGCTAGAGAAGATGAAGTAACTGTGTGGAGACAGGGCTGAAGTTTTGCTATAATTTCATTCACTACAAGAAATAGAGGCCCTACTATGTGCTAGAGGATGTAGAGTTAAATGGGGCAGGGACTTTGAGAAATTAACAACCTAGTGGAGAAAAAAGATATGTCAAAGAGGAACACAAAAGTCTAATGAAATAAGTGTCCAGAGGAGACTATGTGCTGGGTAAGTGAATTCAATAGCACCTCTTCAGCGGTACAAATTTCCCACCTGAGAAAACTGATGGAGGGTCCATGAGAGCATCCATAGGTGGTTCCTCCTGTTTAACTTTCCCTGCTCTGTGTCCTGCTGCTTGGCCACCATTGTCTGGATCCAGGATTGGCACCCAAACAAAGGCAAGAGTCTCTAAGGAGACATAAAGAAGGCCAGCCACCAATCAGGTGGGCCCATCAGGAAAACTGTGTCCCATAAAGGCCCTCCCTATTGAATAATGAATGACATGCATTCAGATCCTCTCTCTTGGGATGTTTTAAAGGCAACTCACAGCGAGTGGTCACTAGAAGCAGAGGTAGCAGTAGAAGCGGAGACTGTACGAGAAAGAAGCAGGGGGGTGCTGATTCTCGGGAGAATGGCAAAATTACTAGAGTATAGGCAATGGATGCTTGTTAATGAGGGGCTGACCAAGGCACCGGAGCCTGTTGTTGGATCACAGGAACTGCAGTGGATTCCCGGAATGGACAGGAGTTCTGGCTGATGATAGGATACGGTTTTCTAAAGTTTCCTAATTTCCTTTAAATAAACCCTCAGCATTTGCAGTGTTCTGAACATGTCCTGGCATTTTATATCTCATAAGAGCCCAATTAACACAAGGGTATTCCTGTTGTTTTGGCTTTGATTATATCACAGGGTATCCCGTGAAGAAAAAGGTAGTATGATCTTCATTAAGCAAGATCAAAAGGATGTGTGTGTGTGCATGTGTATACGTGGCTGCCTTCCCAGAAGAGTATAACAGTAGAGGGTAGAAACTTCAGTTACATCTTAGAGCAAGTCTGGAAGCCCTAAGTTTATATTTTTTGTTATTCCCTCTCTCTTTTCCCATTGTGATCACCGTGCGGGCCTGTGCACTTGTCCTTGAGGAGGGCAAAGAAAGGGAGAGCCAGAAAGGCTGTTCAATGCAGCCACTGGGCTTGAGGAATAGAAATCCCCAAAGCTAGCAGAAGGTGCAGCTGCCAAGGAGAGAGGAATTTGAGTAACTAGATCAGAGTTTCTCAATGTCCAGACTGCCAACCACCACCTTAGGATCACCTGGTTGGTTAAAAATGAAGATTTCCGGTTCACCTTAGACCAACTGAATGGAATATCTGGATCAGGGGCCTAGGAACTTGCATTTTTGTAAGTATGCCTGGTGATTCATGAAGTGCTTTCTCTTGAGACCCACTGCTCTAAGCCCTGGGTCAAGGAAAGAGTGTGGGGGAGAAGGATGCTTGCTCTGAGAGAGCGCTCAGGACCAAATGGTGGAAAGGCTTGTCATGCATGTGTATCCATTACTGTAGGTGAGAAAAGGAAGAAGAGAGAAAGTGTGTGAGGTGAGGCAGGGGTGTAGAATGCACAGAACAGAGAGTGGGATACAGGTCTGTTTTGGCAATCCTGAACCCAGATGATAACTGAGACACGTGGATGGATTAGGTTTCTGCTAATGCCAGAATTTTCACACTCAGCATAAAAGTGCTATATAAAGCTTTTCCCTCTTCTATATTACAGTCCTTTTAAGATTTATGGAGCACCAACTACAGGGAGAACATTGTATTAGCAGCTGTCAGAGAAAACAAGAGCTTATCATGTACTTGAAGTTGGACAAAATAAATCTGTGATTTACATTGAAGAGTGACTACAAAGCAACGTACAAATAAGTGCAAATTCATTCACTTAACAAAAACTGTGTCCATTATGTGCAGACTTTTCTAGACTCCCTAGGGTGTGGTTTATCAGAAAGTGATGTGGGTGAGTTTAAAGGCAGATTTTGTAAGAAGGTGAACAGAGAGATTACAGAGAATTTAAGGCATTGTGTCTAAGGAAGGATTTAGATTCACACAGTTCCCAAGCAGGGTACATAACTTCACTCATTCAACATTCCATACATTTACTGAGTGCCTATTGTGTTTGTAGCAGTAAGTAAAACAGACAAAAATCCCTGCCCTTATATTCTGACGGGAAAGAGACAAGAAAACAAAATAAGTAAGTTATATGGTATATTAGAAGGTGATAAGTGCTCTGGAGAAAAATAGGAAGAGAGGGGGATTCCCTGGTGGCGCAGTGGTTGAGAGTCCGCCTGCCATTGCAGGGGACACATGTTCGTGCCCCGGTCCGGGAAGATCCCACATGCCGCGGAGCAGCTGGGCCCACGAGCCATGGCCACTGAGCCTGTGCGTCCGGAGCCTGTACTCTGCAATGGGCAGAGGCCACAACAGTGAGAGGCCCGCGTACCGCAAAAAAAAAAAAAAAAAAAAAACCGGGAAGAGAGAGGATTTCGGAGGAGGGAGAGATGCAATATCAGATGATCTTTTGGGAAACTCATTAGAAGACATTTGAACAACGATTTATAAGTAAGTGTCAAAGGAAGCTTTGTGGATACACAGTGTGTTCCAGATACAGAAGCAGCACGTGCAAATTCCCTGCAGAAGCCTGCCTGCATTTTCAAGGAACAGCGAGGAACCAGCATGTAAGTCTGGAAGTGAGGAAGGTGGACTATTGGGTAAGAGCTCAGAGAGGAAAGGAGGCAGGGGTGTCAAATAATTTAAGCCCATGGAGAACCTGGAGAAGATGCATGCTTTTATATTCAGCAGGATGGGAGCCCCTCTGAGTGGGAAGCAGAGGAGCAAACGCGATCTGACATGAAGGATACTTCCTTTCAGCTGTGTGAACTTGGGCCCCATTTCTAACCTCTCTAAATTTGTTTCCTCTTGTGTAAACTAGAGAAAAGCATCGGATTTCATGAGGCTGTTGTGATGATTAAATAAGATGATATGTGCAAAACGTTTAGCATCTACCTGAACTAGAGCAGGTATATTCTTTTCCCTTCCCTGTTTTCCACCTCCTCTCTTCTGCCTCTTCCACCTGGTACCAAGGGCCAGGAGGGGGAGGCAGGACCCAGCCTTGCAGAGTACAGCCCACATAAGGGGTAGGAAGAAAAGGGGACAGTTGGTGTCAGGCCTAGGTTAACAGACTTACTAGTTGGGATTTAACATAACTGTGTTATTCTTCCTGTTCTATGAGGCGGAGTAGAGGGACAGAACTGCAAGTAGAGACTCAGATGGGTGGTCCTATTAGGTATAGGCGCTGGTTTGCCAGGCCTCAATCTTTAGAAGAAAACTCCCCCAAACCTTTCTAGGTAGTTTATCAACGCAGGCTCTGGGCATGCTAGCAGTTCTAATGGTTCCATTGTTTAATGTGTTAACTCCCTGAACGTTAAGTGATTAATCTGTCTTCTAATTAATGTTTGAATGATTCTCCTCAGGTCTAGACTATTAAGGGCACTTCTATTTAAAAATAGTCTGTCGCCTGCTTGTGCTGTCAGGGGCAATAGGTACATTTGAGGTCGCCGTTTTGAGTGGCCCTTGATGGCTTCGAAATATCCATAAAAACAACAACGAAAAACAACAGACCCCCTCCCCCTTAATTAGTGATGAAAGGCTTTGTCGCGTTTGTCTGGGCCTGGGGCTAGGTTCCCAGCCCCAGAGTGTGGAGAATGGTATTCTCCAAGGCGTGCTCAGAAAGCCCCGGGTCGGGGAACTGGCGGCCAGGTCTCTCCGTAAATCACCCAAGTCGCCTCCCACTTTGGGTGACTGCATGTTTATTTACTTGCAGTAAATGATAGTAAATGAATGTGCCCAAGTGTAGGCCGACCCCAGGGGTGGCGGGATCTTCGCAGCTCCACCGTGTGGACCCGAGAGGGGCGCGGTGGGGTGCCTGTGGCGTCTCCTGGGTGCGCGGAGTGTAGCGCGCGGCGGCCCGGGTCCGAACCTGCGACTGCGAGCTAGGCGCTGCAGCTGAAGCCTGGGGGCGGGTCCCGCGTGGGTCCGCCGCTGCCCCCTCCCGCCCACCCGCGCGCGCCGAGGCACCGCCCAGAACCGCCCCGCCTTCGCCGGCCGTGCGCCGCCAGCCCTCCACCGCCCCGGCCGACTGCTTCCTCCGCCGGCCCGGCCCCCACCCTCCTCCGCCGACCTGGTCCGCCCCCCCCCCCTCCACGGCCAGGCCCGGCCCCCTCCCTCTCCCCGGCAGCGCTCGCAGGCTCGCTCTTCCCTCTTCCCACACCGCCCTCAGCCGCTCCCTCCCCGCACTCTTGTCTGGAGAGGAATCGAGCACCGAGCGCATCGATAGCACTGCCCTCTGCGGCCGCCCGGCCCCGAACTCATCGGTGCTCTCGGAGCTCGATTTCCCTAGGCGGCGGCCGCGGCGGCGGAGGCACAGCGGCGGCGGTGGCGGCGGCGGCGGCGGCGGCGGCGGCGGTGGCGGCGGCGGCTCGGCCAGTACTCCCGGCCCCCGCCATTTCGGACGGGGAAAGAGCGCGGCGCAGGCACTGAAGGCGGCGGCGGGGGCCAGAGGCTCGGCGGCTCCCAGGTGCGGGAGAGAGGTACGGAGCGGACCACCCCTCCTGCCCCCTACCGGGGTCCCGACCCTCCTCTCCGGCGCCGGGCGGGGCCGGCGACGAGTGAATGAATTGGGGGTCCCCGGAGGGGCGGGGAGGGGGCGCGGGCGCGGGGCCCGGGCGGGCGGACGGGGTGGGGGGGGTCTGCCGGGGTAGACGCGGGGACGCGGCGACGCGGGGAATGAGGAATGGGCGGTGCGGGGCTGAGGAGGGTGAGGCTGGAGGCGGCCGCCGCTGGTGCTGCTTCCTGGACGGGGAACCCCTTCCTTCCTCCTCCCCGAGAGCCGCGGCTGGAGGCGGCCGGGCTGAAACTTGCGGGCCGGGCGGGCCGCCCCTCGGGGCGGTCGGGTGCGGTGGAGGTTACTCCCGCTGCGCTCCAGCCTCCCCTCCCCCTCGCCGTCCTTCCCTCTCCCTCTCTCTCCCTTTGCTCCCGCACCTCTTCCTCCCTTCCCAGCACTCGGCTGCCTCGGTTCCTGCCTTCTGTGCTGCATCTCGCATCTCTAGGACGAGGGTATAAACTTCTCCCTCGAGCGCAGACTGGACGGCTTGTGGTCCTTTTTTCAGTGTGTAGGGGGATATATGAGTAAGAGAGGAGGTCGCGTTTTGGAAGCGCAGAGGAAAGTGCTTAGAGACCACTGTTTGAGGTTATTGTGTTTGGAAAAAAATGCATCTGCAGCCGAGTTCCTGACTGCTCCCCTCCCCCATGTATGGGCTGTGACATTGCTGTGGCCACAAAGGAGGTGGAGGTAGAGATGGTGGTGGAAGAACAGGTGGCCAACACCCTACAACATAAAGCCTGTACTTAGTGAAAAAGAAAAAGTTAATCCCAGAAGGTCTGTTTTGCTTTGTCAAGTTAAAACACACGCAATAAACCCGCAGAGCAGAAGCAGGGCTTTTTCCTTGCTAGTTGAGTGTAGACAGCAATAGCTAGAATTGTATTTGAAGTTTAATTTGCCTGTTGTTGTCCTTTCCACTGTCTCTTCTGTATTACCCTTATGCGTACATATTTGACCCCCATCCCAGGAGTTATTACCGTACTTCTAAACGGCTGTCACACAATTTTTTTTTTTAACTGACCTACCAGAGGGGTTAATTGTAGCAATCTGCCAGCCAACTGCCTGAAATACTCTTAGGCATGTGCATGTTGTAGTTGAAGTCCTCAAGTAGCCCTCTTAAATCTTGATATCCACCAAAATAAGGGGTTAAGAACAGAAAGGTATTTTCTAATTTTTTACACAATATACATGTTACATTTGTAATGGAAAAAATCATTCGAAAAGAAATCACAAAGGGAAAAAAGTCTGTTCATAATCATCTCAGAATCAACCTTATGAGTGATGTCATTCTTAGGTGACTAAGGTCCAAAATGCTGACTCGGGCGTGTAATAGACTAGAGATGACAAATATGGTTGATAACAATACTGTTTACTTTAGACTGTATCCATCCACAGGCATTCTTGGTTTTAAGAGATAGTAGATGAAATGATAATTCATTTTGTTTTATGACAAAGTGAAAATTCTTTTCCTGAACAGACTGTTCTGTTCCCAGTTACACCGCTTGCTAGCTTTTGTAGCTTTGGGTGAGGGGTCTCCTTCTGGCCTATTGATCATCTTTGGGAACCCAGTTCTCTCTAGTGGGTTTAAATGTTACTTGATTTTTGAAATCCAAGTCAAAGATTTTTTTCAGAAATAACCATTGTAAAGAAATAGACCAGAAGGTGTGTGTCTTTCAGAATTCACACATGTATGTACAACTAAGCTCTAATCCAGTATTTGTCCACAGTCTCTCTTAGACTAGCAAACTTACTGGTCATAAGGATCTGGACCCCTTTACACTCTTAAAAGTTATTGAAGATCCCAATTTGGAGTGTGTCAATATTTAGCACAATAGAAATTAAAATTGAGAATTAAAAAAATATTAATTCATTGAAAAAAGAAATAATAAGCCCATTACTTGGTAACGGAAGTAGAATTTTTAATGAAAAGTAACTTTTCCAAAACAAACACAAAAATTGTGAGAAGAGTGGCATTGTTTTGCACTTTTGCAAATCTCTAATTATATGGTTTAGTAGACAGCTGGATCCTCACATCTGCTTCTGTATTCAATCTATTATCACACATCTGGAAAATTCTACTGTACACTTGTGAGCGAATAAGAGTGGAAAGGGTAAATCACATCATAGCATTATCGTGAAACCAGTTTTTGACCTCTTGGGCCCTCTCCCAAAGTCTTAGGAACCCTAATGGGTTCCTGGAACACATTTTGAGAGCTACTGTTCTGGGCTATCCAAATTTTATTGGAGGGGTAGGCTGGGCAGGGAACTAGAGGATACATTTTGGTGAGATTATCCTCACCTATCCCATTTGCTGTGGTCAATATTAGGAATGAAAAGGGGGAGCAAACAGGATGTGATACATGTTTGTGGTGGCCCTAGACGAGGCTAGGTGCTGCAGAGCAGGCCAGGGAGGAACTGTGATACGACAGTTTGTCTGGCCTGTCTGCTCTCTGTGAGTAGGTTCAGGAATAGCGTGAAGAGGTAGTTAGTATGTTATCACTTGGAAAAACATATTACTTTTTGGGGGGTAGGGTGGTGAGGTGCCTATTGGGATAATTCTTGGTCTTCGGTAAATAGGATGCTGCATGTACATAGTGTTTATATACAATATCTGTACATTCATTAATTTTGAGCTACTTACTCTGTAATAAATTATTGTTCATTGACTGCCATTCTTTCTGCAGTTCACTACTTATTTGTAGTAATATCATGTAGTTATTGAGGGAAAGGAGATTAAAGTAAATAAATTCATTTTCATTTCAAAAAGTTTGAAGCAGCTGACTAAAAAAATATTTTCTGTCTTGGCGCCGTTAACCTTACAAGTTTTCGATATTTATTGCTACTGTTGGGAGATGATGTATGAGAAGCAGAGAATAAAAGTCATGTGGATTACTGAGAAATACATCTTTTAAAAATTCTCTCATTAAAAGTGTGCTTGTCTTTAAATATTATATTTTTCTTGGGCAAAGTGCTATTTTTCAGCACTGATATAGCATTATAGATTGTGATTGATGATCACATCATCTGTACTGAATAGTTAAAAATTCTCGAAGTTCTCTTAGTTTTTACACCGTTATTTTCCCCAGCAGATAATGTATGGATTAAAATGTTACCAGGTATCGTCCTTATCTGCTTTGGCATCTCAGTTTTTATTTTCCCAGTGTACTGTCCAGCTTTATTTGACAGTCCTCCCCCCACCCCCATCTGATTCTTGCTAACTGTCCAGGAGAACTACTATGATGATGCTTTTTAAAAGTTTTCTGTAGCTGTTGGCCCCAACAGAGGCACTCGGCGTATCCACTGTAACTCTTAGGGGCCCGAGTCGATGAGGAATACTGTGGCGATAGCTGTCAGCAAGTTTTGTGTGGGTGTGTCCTCAGGGTATAGAGCAGTGTGCTTGACACTTGTACTGAGTGAAGTCATGGCCTGCTCCTTCGAGAGCCATTACCTGCTGCCGAAGAGCAGACAGGCTCTTGAGATAGAGCCACCTGAATCCAAGGTAAAAGAACTATGTACTCCGAATGAGTTTTTCTCAAATGCTGATGGAGGAGTTTGTCAACGAAGTACAATTCATTACCAATAGACATCTGTAGTCATCCGGAGTTTTGTCATTGAATTTTGTGAGGTATTTTGAAATAATGTTCCATATAAAGGTGAACTTGTGTTAAGAGGTATTGATGGAGTGTTTGGGTTATATTAACCTCACGTGTGGCACACGTTCTAATTGAGTCACATTTCCATTTTTGTCATAAGGCCTGCTGAAAATGACTGAATATAAACTTGTGGTAGTTGGAGCTGGTGGCGTAGGCAAGAGTGCCTTGACGATACAGCTAATTCAGAATCACTTTGTGGATGAATATGATCCTACGATAGAGGTAAATCTTGTTTTCATATGCATATTGATTTGTGCAGGCCCATCCTTTGGGTACAAAAAAAGGTTTCTCTGATCACTTTCTGTGACTACTCATCACAAGGTAGTTATACTGATAATACTTTTATTAAGTTATCTAAAATGTACTTGGATTTCAAGGCATTACTCTGATATATGAGACACCAGCCTGTTTTCTCTCAGGACAATAATGCTATCTGTGACGTTCACTCCGTGTTAGTGTATGTGCATTTTGATTGGAAGTGTATTTCAGAGTTTTCTCACAGGGTGAAAATGTGAATTTACATCTTATCTGTAAGATGAGACATATCTAACAGTCTTTTTTTTTTTTTAATGTGCCTATTTTTATGGGGTTTTGGTATTTTTTCTGGTATTTTGATGTCACATATAGAGTTGATTTATACTGGTGAAGTGTAATCATTTGATGATTGAATTAAAAACACTGAATTAGTAGTATTTTCATGTTTTCTCTTCACATTGGAGTAGTGGAGAACCTACAACTACCTGATGCATTTTAGAAAGCTCATTCTTTGCGTTTATGTATATGTATATCGGGTGATATGTAAGAATACCATCACCAATCCTTACCTTTGCTTTACAGCCCTTTTTCAATTTATTCAAGACAATGTTAGAATTGTTTTTTTATTACAAATTGATTAATGAATAATTTTCAGACTTTTTCAGTTTCATAAAAATGTACCAAAGGAATGGCCAACAGCAAAATGATAGAATAAAGGCCTAGCAGAGACCTTGAGCGGTCACGTAGTATGTTTCCCAGTGCCTTCTGGCAGCACTATACTCAGATGATCTCAAGCAGATAAGGATTTATTTAATCCCAAAGACCTGCAGGAGGGAATGGCACACAACTGTCCTTGTTAACTAATTTCCAGAATGTAATTATTAGCATATTTCATGCATAATCTGAGCCTTCCTGTGAAGTTTAACATAATATCAGCTCATCTTTGATATAAATTTATGTTATTAGATTATTTCTTAGACTTCTTTACCCCAGGGTAAGCGATCCTAATCCCTTAGCTTTTTTTCTAGATCTGATATACCAGTTTTTTTAATCAGCTCTGAAAAATTTCCCATAACTTTCTCTGAGTCCCAAGCTGTAGGGTCTAGAATAGGTCAGAAATGCCCTGTTAAGGTATTGTGCTGTGTCATGTCTTAAAAAAACACACCTTGACTGCACTTAGGTAGGTTCTGAGGGCATTGTTGGCCTTGGGAAGATGTTTATGCAGTGTAGAACTTTGAGGATTGACAAGGAAATGTTCATAAGGAAATGTCAAATATTTCTGGTACTGGAGGGAAAAAAAATGAAGAAATAACCCTTATTTACAAAGATCTGATTTAAACATAGAAGCAGCTTTCATTTGGCTTCCAAGTTTAATAATTGGCATTAGTAAAAGGGAAGAATCTAACTGAAGTGGACCACCTATGTAATAGTCTCTCTGTATTTCCTCTTGGCAAGTCAATTCAGTGCTAATGGTTTTGTTTATTTTTTACTTTGAGGAGGATTAAATAGTTCACCTATTTCTGAAGCCAAGGTTACTCGTCATACTCCACCATTTAAATTGGAAGTAAAAGGACATTTTAACAGAATTTAAGTTAAGCATGGCAGTTTTCCTGGGATTCTGGAATATGATTTTGATTTTAGCAGAAGTGCCCTCCATCTTTTCTGAAAATCTGAAGAATTCCATTACACTCTGTTTCCTATCAGAGGTCAAGAATGATGTATAAGAATGTGATTAAAAAAAAAAAAAGGTTAGGAAATCTTTTGGTCAAAATTGTTAAAGTGCAATATAAACCTTAAAGAAATAAAGGTAAAAGTCAATCCTTTATTTTGGGGGAAGGTAAAAAAAAGTTTATAAACTCAGACCCATTAACTCTGATTATGATTTCTGCCAAACCAGAAACTTGACCCAGGGAAGCATTGATTACCTGTGAACTTTGAAACTGACATTCCGTCACTAGTGTAGCCACCTGGGAAATGGTTATCAGAGATTGTCTCTTATCTCCCAAGTTACAGTGAGTCTCTGAGGGAACTGTCACATTGAATTCTTGGTGTAGTTCAACTAGAAGAAAAGCAAGAGAATTTAGTAGTTTATTTTCATAAGTGGTTAAACAAAAATACTGACATGGTGTTTTTGTAAAAAGTTGAAGGGTAGTGGGTATCACTACTGCTGTTAAGTTTCTGGTAGGTGAACAGTGTAGGTCAGAGAAAATAAGAGAGGTCATAGACTTTGCACATTTGGAGTTCTCATCAGTTTTTCTGCATTAAACAAATGGACAGAAGTTTAGGAAAAAATTTTAATTAACTAATACCATATTTTCTAGTGGTTTAGAATTTTCAGAGATTTATATTGGGTCGGCCAAAAAGTTCGTTCGAGTTTTTCATGTTATGGAAAAACCCGAGTGAACTTTTTGGCCAACCCAAAACTGTGAGCCAGGTAAGGAAGGTGGTCATTGTTTCTTTCATTTTATCAATAAAAATGGTCTCTGAGAGGTTGTAACTCGCATAAGGATACTTAAGCTAGCAAGTGGTGGAATTTTGACTTTTCTGAGACCAAGTTAAGTGGAATTTCCACTGCACCCTTGTATAGCTTTTTAAAAATGAAAAATTAGCCTTCAAGCTAAAAATATTTAGTGTTGGAGGCTGATTCAGATTATTAATATATCAAAATTTGAACTTAGCCTACTATCTAATGGCATCTTAATAGCAGAGATATGATATAGAATTAGGTATGACATGTAGATGGAGCATGTTTATATTTACACATGATAATCACCTTTACTTCTGTTTTACCTTTATCTTTTATGAAGCCCACTGAAGAGTTCGAAGAGAGAACGAAATACCTTGTTAGTGGTGCAGGATTATTAAAAACTCAGTTCCCAAACACAGTACCAGGCTAGAAATAGTATATGTTTTTATAGTTTGGAGATCATGTTATTATAAAAACATGTTCTCTGAAATGTGTTTTCTAAGGTAAAATTTGGTGGAAGCAGAAAAATGGAAGTAGAGATCAGAACTGTCAGTTGGTCAGTTAGCAAATATCTAACAAGTATCTACTGGATACAATATAAAAATAGACATAGAAAGAAGTATTTTTTCCCAGTCTCCAATCCATTGACATCTCTATGCTTCTGTTAATGTGACATTTCTAATTCAGTCCAAGTATTATGCCCTTCTTTGATGAAACAGTTTTCTAGTCAGTAAGAAAGAATGGAGTCATAATTGGATTGATTTGTTCCATCTTTAGTGCTCTGAGCCGTGGAGTGTTTATTCACCAAGATATATCAGTTTCTCTTTTAAAAATTTTTTCCGTGTTAATTATGGAATTGCTGATTAAGGTATTTAAATTATAGAGAGAAAATTTGTAATACGAAACCAGTATTGAAGAGTGGTGTAAGAAAAGCTCTGTTTAATATTGTAAGCTGTTATTATTCTGTTTTTTCTGGTTTTGTTTTTTAACATATGTATCAGTAGTTATTAACAAGGAATAGGTGGTGACTTTGCCCCTCGGGACATTTGGCTAAATCTGGAGATGTTTTTGGCTGTCACAGCTTGAAGAGGGGACTGCTACTGGCCTCTCTAGTGGGCAGAGGCCGGGGTTCTGTTACTCCTCCTGCAGTGCACAGGAGGGCCCCCCAGCAAATAATCACGTGGTCCAGAATGTCAGCAGTGCTGAGGTTGAGACCCCAATACTATGCGTTACATGTAGCTTTAAACGTCCTATAAATTGTGAGGCTCAAGTCCCTGAATATCGTTTATGTTAGATTTTTTAACATAGTATAGATTTAAACCTTACATTTTCTAAACTAACAATATGTTATATTAGCTTACACTAGTGTTCTGTTAAAACATTCTGTTTTTAAAACAAGGTACAACACAGCAATTTTGTACATCCATTTCTCTTCAAGACTGTGGCCACTCTTCTCCCCCCTTTCAAGTGAGTGCCCTCTACTGGTCAACTTATTCGCTTTTATAATAAAAAATGAAACCCTAAGTTTGGATATTTTTTCTTTTTAAACTGTGGGTATAATCAATTTATAACTGTATAAATTTTATTTAAAAGACTTATTTTGTATAACTAATGTTTTAACAATCTAAAGTGTCAAAAAAAATCTAAAGTAACAGTTTTACTTTGCCAATGTTATTAAGATTACTGTGTGGACCATTTAGGCCTAACTAATTAAATATATGGGTGAATATTTTTGACTAAGAAAGGAAATGTGGCAATGTAGGAGAAAATAGGGTGGTGCCCTTGTTAGCACTGCTTGAGGTCACTTTGTCTGAGGGAATGAGAAGGGGCACTGTGGCTCTGTGAATTTCTTTTCATGTACACAGGAGGTACCTTACAGAGTTCAGAGCTTAGTGATGTTTTACATGGGGTGTTAGGAAGGGCCTATTCGAAAGTGGCAAATTGTGAAAGTTCACATTTTGTAAATTTTTATAGGATTGTAGAATAGTTGAGAACGCCTGATTTTTAGAATAAACTAACACAAAATTCAGGCACTGTATTTAGGTCAATTTAAGAATAAGTATTTACTTAATAATAACTGTTGAGCCCTGAATGTTGAAAATTATTGGACACATTTTATTCTAACTTGGGTTTTTATAAATACAAAGCTTTAAAAACATGCAAATGAAAGTTGGCAAAGGAAATAAATGAAAGGAAAAGAAAACTTTATCCTTTATCGTTTGGCGTCTGTTAAGAGTCTGGTTTAAGCAATGCAACTAATTTCTTAATTCCATAAATGTTATTAGTGCCTACTCTGTACCATGCAGCCTTCCTACGGTCTAGAGATACACTGAGGAGCAGAAGGAACTGCATCACTGCCTTCATGGAGGTTATTAGTCTTAGATGTATTTGGAGAGCAGTGTTTCTAGACAGTGATCCTAATTATATATAACTTAATTTAGAGGCTTTATGCTTTAGGAGGGCGATAGACTTCTTATATCTCTTAACTATATTGTCTCAT